ATATTCAAAAAACCAAAAAAATATTTTGAGATGGGCAGGGGTACAGGTACATTACCTATCTATAAAGCAACTATAGGTAGTCCTTGCTTGATCATCCTAGTTAGGAATTGAAGTCCCATTGCTAGGTGAACAGTTTTTAGGTGAAACATCATGGTGGTTCCAATAGTGCCAATTGCAGTCATTAGGCCAGGACACATGCTTATCCTGCCTTGCCACGCATGCCTCTGCTTCAACTTTCCCACCTGTCTATAACCCTCCCCCCACTTTTTTTTCCTGCTGCCTTGCCTACTGGCCACCCCTGACTATTTCTGCCAGCCACCCCTTTATCTTTGCTGTCTTCTTCCACCTCTTCAGCCACTACCACTGCATCAGATTCCTGATGTGCCTGCCCTATTTCAGCAATCCCAGCCCACCATACATTCCCCTATGCATGCTTAGACTGCGTGCCTCACACAGTAGACAGCTTGCTGCCCTTTTCTGATAAAGTCTTTTTAAGGACCAGCAACTTTCAGCCCACAGACTAGTTCTCTGAGGAGCACTTCTAGCACGTGCAATGTATCTCATGTTGGAAGTGCTTCTGGGGAGTCGGTCAGTGGGTTTCAGTGAGGGATAGAGGCAAGCCAGTCCTGACAGAATCTATCTGCAGGCCTTCTGCTTGCTCTGAGCCCAGCCTTCCTCCTGCAAAGACTCGTAAAAGGCCAATAGCTTCCAACATGCTGAAGCCTGCAGACCGATTCTGCAGAAGTGCTTCTGGCATGTTCTGGACAGAAAACGTTGGATGTGCTCCTGGAGAACTGGCCTGTAGGTTTCAGCAGTGGGTGGAGGCAAGCATAGACTCTCACAGCAGTGTGGTGAAAAATTGAAGCTATCCTAGCCATCCCCAACAGCATGGCACTAAGCTACAGCCATCCCATCCCAGCAGCAAGATATTCTGCAATCTGGGGGGCATCCTCACTGCCCTCTATTCCAAGGCTTCTGCTCTCTGCCATCCCAGATGACTTTTGCAATTTTCCTGCTCCTTCTGCTGAAGATGCTTGCCTGATATGGTCCTTTGTGAGGCAGCTACTGGCCATGCAAGGCCTTCTTCCCAAAGAAAACTGCTGGTTTTCCTGGCTTTCCATATGTTCACCTCCTCTTTAACTCCTCCTCTCACTAATTCCCTTCCACCCTCATATTTTTACCCCTTTAGTTGCCCCACGCTCCATTGGCTTTGCCTTCCTCCCAAGTTCTTGCAAGGAAGGCAGCTGCTCCATGAAGGGCCAAGCTGGGAGTGTTTTTTCAGCAGTGAGAGCAAAGGCAGTTGGGAGCAGCTGAGGGCAGGACAGCAGAGGCAGCATAGTGCAGGGTGGCAAAAAGGGCAGAGAAGAAGGAGATAGTGGGGTGTGAAGAGTTAAAGCTCCTCTCCAGTTGCAAGTACAGGGCTATTTGCCAAGTGCCTGAATTTGCATCATGTGAAGTATAACTTGGGAGACTGTGCACAACTACCATTCATATGATCACCATAACCTTGAATAGTTGCTGAATTAATGGTCGTTAAGTAAGTTCAGATTGCCAAATCTGCAAGTGCCTTCTGCAGTTTCCATGTGCAATGCAATTTTTGTCTTTGAATTCAAAGGTTTGCACAGTTTCATTGGTCAACAGCTTTCTGCTATTGAAACAACTACAGACTGGATACTCTACCATAAGAGTTGTTCTGATCAGGAATTAATGGGGAATTCTTCCCTGTTGCCAAGCAGATAGCAGCAGGAAAGCCTAATTTGGTAGAAAAAAAAGACACAAGTAAATCAGCCTTTGAAGACATTCTGCTTATCAATCATTGTTGCTTCCTATATTTAGAGACCAAATTATGATTTCTAATTATGGTTTGTTGCTGGGAAATACAGTTTGTTGTAAGAGTCAGATGAAGGTACAGTGACAAGCACACATTTTTGTTGTGTGCTGATTTTCCTATGTCCAGGCCTTGCTCAGGCACTCATGCCGTAATCATCCTCTGCTTATAGAAAGGAAGTACAAGGGCTGATACTGTGGTGTAAAGAAAATAATCTTACACTTAACACCAAAAAAACTAAAGAACTTATGATTGACTTCAGGAGGAAGAGAGATGTATATTTACCATTGTACATAAATGGCAAGGAGGTGGAGAGGGTTGGTAGTTTAAATTTCTGGGCACTTATATCTCGGAGGACCTCTCATGGACTATGAATGCTAACATGCTTGTGAAGAAGGCACAGAAGAGACTGTACTTCCTGAGGATGCTCAGGAACATAAATCTATCTCAGCATCCATCTACTTCTGTCCTACTATCGCAGCACCATCGAGAGTGTCCTGACATAACGGCCTTCTTGCATGGCATGGGAGCAGCTCTGTAGCGGACAAAAAAGCTCTACAGAGAATCATTAAAATTGCCCAGAATATCATCAGGCTCCATCTACCAGCCCTGGATGACATCTTCGCATCTCGCTGATTGAGGAAGTTGCACAACATTCTCAGAGACTCTTCCCATCTTGCTTATAATCTTTGTGAACTCTTGCCTTCTGGCAGAAGATACAGAACAGTTAAAATTCAGACCACACATTTTCTGAACAGCTTTTATCCCAGAGCTATAATTGCACTTAACAATGAAAAGGACCACCATCAGTGAGCTGTTGGACAGTATTACTTGGTATGTTGTGTGGATGCTTATGTGTTTTTAGGGGGCAGGGAATTTTGGCAGCTGGGAGTGTGTTTGGGGATTGTCGTGTGTGTGCGTGTTAGGTCTGGTCACTGGGTGTTATATGAATTTCGTTGTATGTGTATACTGTGTATATGCATACAATGACAATAAAGTATTATATTTTTTTGTTTTTCTGGACAATTGGTATGAGCTGCCTAGAACTATGCATAAAATAAGTGGCCACATAAGCTTTGTAAATGAATAAATGAGCCACAAGCTGTATTACTTATGAGTTATACTTTCCCTCTTTTTTTGAGAAACTAATTTTTATACTGGGAGTGTAAAATTTAGACATCAACTGTGAATTACTGTGGGAAACTAACAGTCTGGTTTTCTGTTGGCAATCAGTGGCTAATGAGGTTAAAATGTTAGATTTTCTATTTTGAACAGTGGCAAGAACAGTGATCAGTTAATGCAGGTCATCTAAATCTATTGGTCTGAGGAAAAAATTAATTGGTGGACTTTGGAGGGCATGCCTTTTGTGTCTAAGGTTAAAAATTATCCTTTTATAGTTTAGACCAGGGGTGTCAAACTGGATTTCTTCGAGGGCCCGTTTTACCTGCCAGAGGCACTGTGAGCCATTCCCTTGATATTTTCAGGCTTGCCCCGCGGGCTGGATTTAAGTACCCTGTATCCTGCCCACAGGCCTTGTGTTTGACACCCCTTGTCAGGCCCATTGGAGTCTGAATCTGAGGAGGAAGACAAACAGCTGACAGGAAGCGGGAGTGGCTCCGGTGGCTGTGGAGGAAACTGGGGAAGGGCAAAGTCTGCCTGGGCAGGGGTAGAACAAGGGATAGGGAATTCAGAGGAAGACCCATGCCCACCCCCTCTTCATCTTAGGACACGTAGGGAGGAATGGAGAAGAGAGCAACATGGGTTGTGTAGCTTATGGAAAGGGCCCTGATTCTCTTCATTAGGAACACCTGGGAAGAGAGTTTAAAAGAGATGCAGGCTGAGTGTGGTGTTTGCTGGGAACAAACGTGAGTTTATCTTGTGTTGACTGGTTATTTGCGTTCCTGGAATCCTCCCACCAGGTTGATTTATTGCCTGGAATTCCTTCTCTTGCCCTGCCGGATTAATTACCTCATCTTGCCTTGATTGGACTTATAGTTAAAACTTTTGTTAACAACGTTTTGGACTTGAATCTCTGCAGCCACAGGCTGTTCCTGGGAGAGTTCTTCTCCAGACCAGAAGGTAAGCAGGACATTGGGGGCAAAGTTGGAGCTAAAAAAGGGACACCTATTTGACTGTATTGCCTTTGTGCAATGCCCAGGTCATCACACCACTGGTTTAGACATTAAAAAGATGATTCTCATAACTATTATTTAGAATATTCTTTTATTGGCCAAGTGTGATTGGACACACAAAGAATTTGTCTCCTTTGCATAAGCTGTCAGTGTATATACAAACAACAAAATGATAATCATAAGATACCAATAGGAAAAGATAATAGGAAAGATGAGAAGGATAATAGTAACACAGTCCTACTACATTAGGCATAAGATAGCGCTGTGGGAATTAAGCGTTTAGTAGAGTGATGGCCTGGGTGTATCTTTTTGTCTAGTTGTTTTGGCATGCAATGCCCTATAGCAGCATCCTGAGGGGAGGAGTTGAAACAGGATATCCAGGATATGTAGGGTCTATAGATATTTTCTCAGCCCTCTTTCTGGCTCATGAGCTATATAGATCCTCAATGGAAGGCAGTCTGGTTGCAGTTGCTTTTCCTGCAGTCCTAACTGTTGGTTAAAGTTTGTACCTTCCTTTTCGGCTGCTGTACCAAACCAGGCAGTTATAGAGGTACAAATGACAGACTCAATAATTCCTACATAGAACTGTATGTCAGCAATTCCTTGGGGCAGTCTTAGCTTTCTGAGTTGATGCAGGAAGAAAATCCTTCGTTGTGCCTTTTTAATGATGGTTCTAATGTTAACTGTCCATTTTATGTCCTGGGAGATTATAGAACCCAGAAATGTGAAGGTCTCTACTGTTGATACTGTGTTGTCTAATATTGTAAAAGGTAGTAGAATAGGAGGGTTCCTCCTAAAGTCCATTATCATAGCTACATTTAAGAGTGTTCAGCTCCAGATTGTTTGTCTGCACCACAGGGCCAGTTCAACCTTCTGTTGATTGCAGATTCATCACCAACTCGAATGAGGCCAATGACTATGGTATCATTGATATGTCCAATATATTATGTCATTCATATGACCAATATATTAAATTATGCCTTGGAATTTTTTTCCCTCCAGCATAGATTTAACGGTATCTCATCTTTTTCTTGTTCCAGGAGACAAAGATGGCAGCAAAGTGACTACAGTAGTAGCAACTCCTGGACAAGGTCCAGATAGGCCTCAAGAAGTTAGTTATACAGACACTAAAGTGATCGGGAATGGATCTTTTGGTGTTGTTTATCAAGCCAAACTCTGTGATTCAGGAGAGCTGGTTGCCATTAAAAAAGTTCTGCAAGACAAGAGATTTAAGGTAAGGAGATAAAACCAATTCTTAAGAATAAGCTCTGTCCATCTCTTTCATTCCTTTCTGATTGATTTTTCTCCAAAGAGCATATTATGTGCATTGACACCCCAATATTTCAAATATAGTCTGGTGCAAAACAGAAATCTTGTGCTGAAATATAAGGTATTTTTAATGAGCTGATAGATGGACAATAAAGAAAGAAAAAGGAAAAAAAAAGACTGATTTAATGGTTTTATTTTAGTCATAAAGTTTACGTTTCCACCCCTCCTCCCAAAAGCTGAATATGGTTGCTTAGAGAAACTAAATTAATAGGATAATTTGAATAAATTAATTTTACAACAAGCTTTCAATTACTATTTTATGATAGTAAGTTTTTTTTTCACTGTGGTCTGTTGAATAATAATTGGTAGAGTTGGTTGAGTTATTTAGTGCTTTGAGTTCTAAACTATGGTTTACAAAGCACAGTGGCTGAAGTTGTGCCATACTTGAAACATACATATCAAATCATATTATAAATAGCTAATATATTAGGTATTTGCAATTTTACTTACCGTTTTAATTGGATATTTTAAAAACTTTTCTGTTCTTGCTTTATATCTAACTAGAATGCTATTGGTATACAAACACCAAATAGCACTTGTTGCGTTTTTATTTGAGTACATGAATTTCTGTATCTCATTTTACATATGCCGAGGTAGTGAAGTTTCAGAATTGACCAGAAGTTAATTTTTTAAAAAACAAAACCTGGCACATTTTTTTTTAAATAAAGGTTTGGATATTTGGTTATTTAAGGTTTGGTTGACGTATAGCTGGATAGGTAATTTTGGTCAGCGAGTTCAGCCTCATGCTATTTGGTGAATTCCAAATGAAAAAATTCCCAGAATTGTCTCTGTTCCTTGTTAAAACACAGTCAGTGAAGAAGAGCTTGTCACCTCTGCAGTTAATTAAATTCATCATTGAACTGCCCTTATTATAATATTGTTATAATATTTTCCCTAACATTCTGCTGGTATTTGACTTCCTTTAATTAAAATGTATTAATCTGGAATGGTATGGATCAAGTTTTGAGTGTCTTCTGATGAAATTGTCCAGATACACGAAGGGTATTTATTCCTCTGTTCTCAAGGCTGTTATTCCCAAATGTTATTCAAAAATATTGTTGCCAAGCCAGGTCTCCCCCAAGAAAACCTTTCATTTATTTTTCCTGAGTGAAGAAATTTGCATTTGTCTTGGTTGAATCTTGATCTATATTTTTGTTTGTAGAACCATAAAGTTGTAAGGAATCTTAAACCTTATCTTTCTTCAACTTCACATTCATTGAAGGATGTATTAGATCAGTCAAACTCAAGGCCTGTGGGCTGAATCTGGCCCGCAGGGTGCTTAGATCTGGCCGACGGGGCTGACCTGAAAACAGCAAAGGCCCGGCCCATGGTGCCTCTGCCAGTGAAACCAGGCCTGGGGGGCACATGCAACCCCCTGTGCCCCATATTCGGCTGCAATGGCCTCCTGCAGCCCTCTCCCCACCCCGGACTCCATTTCCACTGGCAGAGGACTAGCAAAACAAACAAACAAAAAAAAGGAGAAATGTTTCCCTTTTTGCATTTGAGCATGCAAGAAGAGACAGGAAAGGAGAAGGGGAAAGAGGAAGGACAAAAAAAAGAAGGGAAGATGGGAAGAGAACAAGGAAGGAAAAATAAGGAAAAGAGAGGAAGGAAGAAGAAAGGAGAAGGAACAAGGAGGGAAGGAAGAAAAGGAAAGAAGGAAGGAAGGAAGGAGATTATGAGTGAGGGAAGGCTCAGGGAAGTCCTGCCTTAGCACTTGGCCACCACAGGTGCCCCCAGCATGAGTGATGTTGAGCTGGCCATGCCCACTTTGGCCACGCTACGCTGGCCATGCCCCCGCTGGCCCTCCGAGATCAAACACAACTCTGATGCGGCTCTCAATGAAATCATGTTTGACACCTCTGTATTAGATCATCTTTGACAGATGACCATTCAGCTTCTGTTTGAAGAGTTCTAAACAAAGTAGAACTCACTACTTTAAGTAGCACTTGTTCCACATGCTGACAGCTTATATGGTCAGGAAGTTCCTATCTAACTTGAATCTACTTCCCTGCAGTTTCAGTCTATTGATTCTGTCTTTCCTTTTGAGGCAACAGTGAATGCCCACTTTCTTTCCTATGTGACAGACTGGTGTGTTCTGTCCTGGACATTGTTAGCTGCTGCTTCAATGGTAGTTCTTAGGTTGGAATGCTTTACCTTCCAACTGTTATTTCAGAGAACCTGGGAGAGTAGCCCAGGTTCAACTATAGTCTTTTTGGCCTGATTTTGCTAGGTGACTGGGGATAGGGATAGATGGGATATTGGTGAAGTGTGATGAGCAGGTGCTGGTGACCCATTTCAGTAGGCCTTCCCCCAGATTGCTGAATACTAGAGGAAGAGAAAGTTTGTGGATATTGGTGCTGAGGGGCATTAGATTTGAATATGACGTGTGTTGCCCAGTTCTAGGTGGGCATTGAGATGGGCAGAAAAAAACTGGGAATGGAAGTGGGAAAGTAGTTCCATTGTTGTTGTGACCAAGGAGGGCAATATGGTGGGAGGCTGAGGATAGATTAGTCAATCTAAGAGCTGCAACATGATCTCAGGGGTGAGATTTTACCAGTTCGCACCTGTTCGCTAGAACCGGTTGTTAACATTCTAAGAAGTTTGGAGAACCGGTTGTTAGGATAAATTACTGGCAGGAAGGAAACATACTGGTGTTGCTTACAGAAACTGCCTCTCCATTAACCCTTACTACATTCTTGGCAGGACTAGACTTCCTGTTTCAGGAATTTCTCTAGAGTTTTTTTTTCTCCTTTGCTGGTAACTTTGCTTGTGTGGAGTGACCATTCAAAGTTACAATGGCACTGAAAAAGTGACATTTTTCACTTACGACTGTTGCAGCATCCCCACAGTCATGAGAGGCCAGGCGAGGTGATGAATGCCTCCCTTGATGAGAGTGATATTGAGTTGGCCACACCCAGACAATAACATGACCACCAAGCCACACCCACCACCTAAGCCACACACACAGAACCGGTTGTTAGAAATTTGAATCCCACCACTGCTGATCTGCATATGGAAGATATCATCATCTCACTGTCTGGTTCTTTAGAATTCATATTGATATTATCCTACCATAGGGAGATGGGAGCTATTAGATTGGTATATCTCAGACAACTAATAGACCTGCAGTGTTCCAGAAAGAGGATCCCACCCCCCCCACCCCCCACACAAAGGGTAGTTTAGCTGACGTCTTGGTGGTGGCTTGAAATTGGCAATTGACAAAGGCCTTAGGCTGTAAGTGGAAATTGTAGCAAGAACATTGTTATCATTTGTGGGTGCAGACAAAATTTGAAAAGTGATTCCAGTGAATGGTTTTGTGTAGGGTTTGGTGATTGAAGTCGTATAATTCATAGGAAGAATGTGAAGACGTCCTCCAACAACTGACTTGAGAGGATGGATGGGAGTAGTAACATTCTTGTACATAGCAAGGTTATGTGCAGGCATTCGTATAAGTAGTCCTAGACCAGGGGTGTCAGATTCGATTTTATTGAGGGCCACATCAGGGCTGTGTTTGACCTCTGAGGGCTGAGTAGGCATGGCCAGGTTGAGCATGTTTATGGTGTTGGGAGCACCTATGGTAGCCAAGTGCTAAGACAGGACTTCCCTGAGATCCTCGCTCCCTCTCATTATATCCTTCCTTCCTTCCTTCCTTCCTTCCTTCCTTCCTTCCTTCCTTCCTTCCTTCCTTCCTTCCTTCCTTCCTTCCTCCCTTCTTTTCTTTTTCCCTCTTCATTCTCCTTTCTTCTTCCTACACCTCCTTCCTTATTTTTTCTTCCTTGCTCGCTTCCCATCTTTCCATTTTCTTTTTTTCCCCTTTCTCCTTTCCTGTCCCTTCTTACAAGTTCACATGCAAAACGGGAAACTTTTCTCCTTTTGTTTTGTTTTTAGTTTGTTTTGATAGCCCTCCACTTGCTAGTGAAAGTGGAGCCAGGAGGGCTGTGCTTGTATCCTCGAGACCCTTTTTTGACCGTGATGGCCTCCTATAACCTTCTGCCAGCAAAAACAGGGTTGGGGGGGCTGCGCGCTGCCCCTGTGCCCCATTTTCAGCTGTCATGACCTCCTGCAGCCCTCTGCAAGCGAAAACTTGAGTGGCTCCCTCCCCTGAGCTCCATTTTCTCTGGCAGAGAGCTGCAGGACGCCATCATGGCCAGAATGAGGGTGCACGACCCCCCCGCCCCCCAAGCTCTGTTTTCACTGGCAGAGGCACCGCAGACCAGCCTCCTGGCCCAGTTCTAAGCAGCCCATGGGCCTTGAGTTTGACAGATCAGGACCTCAACAGCCTAGTCTCAGGCCAGAATGGCAATATATAGAGGTAGTCCTCGACTTACAACAGTTCATCTAGTGACCAAAGTTACAATGGAACTGAAAAAAATGACTTATGACTTTTTCATACTTACGAACCTGTCATGTAATCAAAATTCAGATACTTGGCAGATCTTGTGCACTTGGCCCCCACTCTCAAACCTCGTCCTCCAGCAAGCCTGCTCCCCACCCTTCCAATCGCATGGGGGCCAGGTGGCTGGCTTGCTGGAGGATGAGGTTTGAGGGAGGGGGACAAGCGCATAGGGGCTACAGCATGGCAGTGACTGGCTAGGTTGCCTCATTGCAACTCCACAATCTGACTTTGCTCATGGCCACTGGCTGGGACAGAGCAGGAAGCTGTGCATCTGGCAGGCCTGATCGGGTGCCTCTACCTGCTACTTGGAGCATCAGCCCGGCAGTCACGAGGGTTAGACCCAATTGCGCTGCATGGGCTGCGGACTTGCAGCTACCTCTTGGGGATGGGGGCTCCTTGCCTTTCCTATTTGCTGCGGCCTTTGCGAGTGGGCGGGTACGGGGCAGGGAGCAGGCTTGCTGAAGAATGAGGTTTAATGGTGGGGCAGAGTGTACAGGGGTTGCAGC